CTCCGGCCTAGGGTGTCCTGGTGCCAAGTGCACTGGTGGACACCTTTATGCTTGAACATGGTGTTTGTTATGGACAAACTGTGACTAGCACAGAAGTCCAATAACAAAACACCACTCGGATTTAGATCGGGGAGGCCGTTCTTCCCAATCACGCCCCTCCAGGTGTCACTGTCGTTGCCCACGTGGGCGTTGAAGTCCCCCAACAGGACGATGGAATCCCCGGGAGGAGCACTGTCCAGTACTCCTCTCAGTGTCAGCAAGAAGGCCGGGTATTCTGCACTGCTGTTCGGCCCGTAGGCCGAAACAACAGTGAGGCACCTGTCCCTGACCCGAAGGCGCAGGGAAGCGACCCTCTCGCTCAGTGGGGAGAACTCCAACACACGACTGACAAGCTGGGGGGCTATAAGTAAGCCTACTCCAGCACGCTGTCTCTCACCGCGGGCAACTCCAGAGTAGAAAAGAGTCCAGCCTCTCTCAAGGAGTTGGGTCCCAGAGTCCAAACTGTGCGTGGAGGTGAGCCCGACTATATCTAGTCGGTATCGCTCAACCTCCTGCACAAGCTCAGGCTCTTTTCCCCCCAGTGAGGTGACATTCCATGTCCCCATAGCCAGAGTGGTTGTCCAGGGATTGGGCCGTCGTGGTCTCCGCCCACAACCTCCACCCAAATCACAAGGCACCGGCCCCTTGTGGGCCTTCCTGCGGGTGGTGGGCCCACTGAAAAGCGGACTCACGTCGCTTGTTCGGGCTGAGCCCGGCCGAGTCCCGTGAGCAGGGACCCGGCCACCAGGCACTCGCCTGCGAGCCCCAACCCCAGGCCTGGCTCCAGGGTGGGGCCCCGGTAACGTCAATCCGGGCGACGTGAACCTCTTTGATGTGTTTGTTTTCTTCATCAAGGGTTGAACTGCTATTTGTCTGATCCGTCGCCTAGGACCTGTTTGCCTTGGGAGACCCTACCAGGGGCATTAAGCCCCTGACAACATAGCTCCTAGGTTCATTTGGATACTCAAACCCCTCCACCACGTTAAGGTTGTGATTCAAGGAGGAGAGATGTATTTGTATTGATATTAAATAACACACTGGTGGACTCTATTTAGTCATTAGGTCAATATTCGCTCATTCAGTAATCTTCTGAAAGCAATTGGATGCACTCAGAGAAAAGGGGGCTGAATACTTTAGCACATTGCACTTTTCAGTTTTTTATTTGTAAAAAAACTTTTTTAAATCATGTATAATTTTCTTTCTACTACCACAATTGTATGCCACTCTGTGTTGGTCTTTCACATAAAATTCCAATAAAATATATTTATGTTTGTGGTCATAACGTGACAAAATGTGGAAAAGTTCAAGGGATATGATATACTTTTGCAAGCCACTGTATAACGCTTGACAAACTAACTACATTGGATAAACTAACACTGTCAGTTAAAATGTTTGGTTACTGGTGGGGGTAGAACATGTAGCTACTTCTTACTCCTCTGGAGAATGTGCTATAAACAGTGTAAAATTGAATGTTGAGTCTAAAAAAACACACTGGCATTGATTAATAAATCGAATGCTGTAACTCAGTGAAAAGAAAATGCCACTAGGATAAATAATAGTACTGAATAATAATACATTTAGGTTTCAGAAATTAACTTTGCTGCAGTCGCGCTGAGCCAAAGGTCAATCACAGCTGGATATGCCTTTTGAGTATTATAGGACTGATATATGGAACTACACTCCTCTGAAAATGTTACACACATTGAATTATGTCATATTTTGATACATATTTTTAAAGTTTTCTTTAGTTTTGCAAAAAAGAATAATATTTAATACCTGCTCACAATATTTAATACTTGTGATGGCTGTAAAACAATTCTCACCTTGAGTATTCATCCAGAGCAACAGAGACAGTTATTGCAAGTGGTGTTCCACAATCCCTAATTTTGGTCCTACTTTTGTTTTGCTCTTTTTTATGTTACGTTACAACGCACTATGTAACATGTTAGTCATTATTATTATTGTTATGACAAACTGATATAAAATGGTATAAAAATGACAACAAGCATGTTAGAAAGGTCAGTCAGTTACCGGTTGCACAAGCACATTGTTTTTGCCAAACAGCAGTGTGGCTCTGTTGTTCTGGTGCAGTGACTCCACGTATTCACGAGCTGATGGTGAGGGAGAAGGTCGTTCGTCCATGCTGCTGCTGGAGTGTCGCTTCTGGATCTGCCCAACAGATGCAAACCATATAAAATTATATAATCTGACCAACAATCGTTAACTGTGCTGAACTGATCCATCTATGCAGATTAAATTACATCCGGCCAGTCAATGTACAGCCATTTGGCATGGAATAAAAACACTTTTTCAAATGACTGCTGACAAAATAAAATGTAATGTTTACTTTTATTTGCAAATACTTACAATGAATTACCACTTAATATATGACTGCGCATTATTCAGCACAGCAGTGTTCCCTGGTGTATTATTTTGGTGATAAACCATAAAGAATTGGCGTGTCTCAATGTGTCTCTTACTTTTTTATTTACTGAGAGCCATTTTGATAGAGAGAGGAAACAGAAATAACTTAACTGAGTGTTTAAATTCCATGTCTGACATTTAAGGATAAGCATTAACGTTTCATTTTTTATTACGAGCTATGTACTTACACAAAGTGCAGGTCTTTTGGTGGGAGAGTCCTGCCTGCAGTGGCCACTGTGGATGCGATGTCTTTGCACCAACTCATCAGCGGAAGGGTCCGTCCAGAAGTGGTCGGCGGTCTTCATCTTTGTGTACTCTAAAGCACAAGGTCCAACTGTGGTACAAAGAAAGCAGCAAAGCTTTGGCAAAGGTTTGGCAAATTAAAAAATATAATAACTAACGGTTTTTGGTTTTTCATGTGTACATTATTGAACTGCAACCTTAGAAATCAATTTATTTTCACAAAACATATTTTTGATCAGTGAGACTGCACCTTCAAAGTACTCTGAAAACTTGGTATTTTCATGTAAAATAACAATTATTAGCAATGCGCTATTAGCCATCTTTAGTCTTAGTCTGTTAGTTACCTAGCAAAGAAGCAAGGATAGGTCCATCTACAGGGTCCATTAGAACAGCCTCTTTTTCGTAGTATTTGCTGGAAACAAACAGAGGGTTGGTTTAAAAGATACAGAGGTCTTTTACCACAAACTGCTAAACAGGCGTCAAAACTACTGTTCTCTTGTACCTGCTGTTTTCCACCAGGAAGAGGACAATCTTGTCCAGAACCTTCTCAAAAAGAGCCGTCCTGATCCAAAAGTTCTTGACTCCTTGTGGGTGGAGGCTTGGCAACCGGGGTATTTTGCGAAAGCTGTCCTGACTCTGAAGGCTCTGACTTCGTCTGGAAAAGATGATTCATTTGAATTTGAACACAGGTTTTAAAAATCCATTAGGTAAATCGGCACTTAAAAGAATAATGGCTTTACTTTTAATGAACATTCATTTATTCAATAAAAAAGTAGTCTTTTAAATAAGCAGACAACCATTTATTTCCACTTTTTCCACTGTTATAATTACAGCAGCTCTGAAGTCTGCTGTGATGTGTGCATCCCTCACTTGGTCTCAATGATCTGCTCTAGCGCCTGAGTCTTCCTGCACAGCTCCTCAGCAGGGGCAAAGCTCTTCCCCACCTTCATGAAGAGCGCTGCGATCTTGTTGCTACGCAGAAAACCTGCCGCCCGTCGTTTGAGTCCATGCAGAACACAAGCCTCCACTGCAGCTGTTCGGAGACAAACACACAAGAACACACGCAAGACTTAACAGAAAAACAATAAACTCATCCCAGTGTCACCTTTTGCAGCAACTTGAAGGGAGCAAATAAAACACTGGGTGCTGCGATTTAGAGTTGAGGCAAAACACAACAAACTACCAAAGTACTCAACAGAGTCACTTTGTCTCACACAGCAGTCATTAAGTCTGTTGACAATACACCTTTGTTTTGTAGCTCATAAAGTAAAAAAGAAGAATGCATATAAAAAGGAATTCAGAGTTTTCTGCCTACAAACTATGAAGCAAACAAGAAAACTAAAATAGAATATGACATGATTTATGCTGTTGAACCCTATCAGATCTGAGACACTTATAAAATACTTTTTAATGCATTTCAAAAAACAACTTCTGAGGTAAAACTTACTTGGAAAGGAATCGTCTGAGACCAACAAAATTGGCAAAAACTAACACCAAAAGCATGTGGAAAATGTATTATCGTCTGAAAAACCCAGGATTGAAGATTTAGAAAAGCTTAATATGGTAATTTCCTTGTTTTGACTGTAAGTGTTTCATGTCCAGAGTATTTAATTTCCTAGATTCTCTAGATAAATACTACTATTAAATCAAATCTTCACATAATAAAGCAGACATCAGTTCGGTCCATTCAGCAATCTATATCTGGACGCACTCTGATGATTGTGATGATGATGATGATGGTGATTTGCACATTGAGTCGACCATGCAGAGAAACCAACAGCCCTTCTTCTCTGCCTACGTGGCAGGGTCTGGAGCTGTGTTGACATTTCAGTTGTCTTTCAGGACTAATCCTGTGGCTCTGCTCTGCTCACATGGGCTCAGGGGGAAGACTGAAGGTTGTCATAGCAACCCCTGTTGATGGAGAGAGTAAGGACCGGATGGTTTGAGCAGAGGGAGGGTTGGTGGAGAGACAGCATCATGATCTATCTTTCCATTATCGTTACTCCTTCACAGCACAGTGTCTCGCCCGTCTCATCTCCGTCACATGGCTCTGCAAAGCTGCCACTGGTGTGTGAACATCAAAACCGTCATCTCTGACTTCCTTTTGTAAATAATAAATGCGAGGATAATCTCTTATGTGGATCGTGTCACCGCTCATATTTTCCATTTACCAACGAATATCAAAGGTCTCCACCAACACAATTGTTAATCCTCCCTACCACAACTATCAAGGCAATGCTAAAAAAACAACTCTTACATAAATTACAATATTAAAACTTGCTACATCATTTATCTTAAATTTTTTAACTTGTGAAATGACAGGATGAATAAGAAATGAAGTTCTCATTAACAGACGAACTGGAGACATTCAAACACCAGACAATAACCATGGATTTAATAAATTATTTTGCAGTCAAAGCAGTGACTGAGTAAATAATGTAAAAAAAACACAAGCGGGGACCACCCTTTGTGCCGTCCATCCTGGTTAAAAACAAAACATCTGACAAATTGAATTAGCCCTAATCACAATGTATCTGTGGCAACTGAGTGCATTCACGCAAAGGGAGAGGCAACAGCATTTACATGATTATTGAATTAAGTCAACAGGTTACTGAAAAGTCATATGTCCATTTTAGTAATGATGATTTTATATGTTTTATAAAGTCATTTACCACGCCAACATAAAATTAAATTAAAAAAAGGAATTATAACATGAAGAACAACCAAGCAGTAATAGCCACGTAAGATCAAATATTGACAAAATTATATATGATTTTTTTTTTGTCATCCTTGGGAATTGAACAACTAACTGACTAAGACATGGCATAAAATAAAATAAATTAACTGACCCTCCTAGTCTCTGAATGAAAGTTAGGATAAACTGTTGCACTCCCCTCCATCATGTTACTATTAACTCATCTGGTGTCTAACTGACTCACTGTATAGTTCCCTCATTTTCTCAATGGCTCTGCCTGGGCAGTGTAACAAAGAAGCCAAGATGGTGGAGGCTAATTGCTCCCCAGTGAGCTGACCAAGCGTATCTCCCATCCTCCATTGCCTCTCTTCTGTGAACGAGAATGTGAAGAGCTAGTAAGAGCTACGAAGGGGATCAGAGCAGAAGTCAGTTGGATGAGGAAGTAACTGACAGTCACCAAAATAGGAGCCAGAGAGGACCAACCAGAGCTGCTGCTCAAGGATAATTGGTTGTCCCACAACAAAGACCAGTCCCAGTGTCACATTCCAAAAAAAAAAAATTATTATTTCTGTTATAAAAAATATTTTCATAATCCTAAAAGGGGGAACTCCAACTGTATGATAATTATAGGTTGGACCAACAGCTTTCACTTGAAACACTTTGATAGGTTTCAAGCTGTGACACAGTTTATTTTCACAATTTAAGAAAAATAATCACTCCATTATATTATGTGGTCATCCACCCCCAAATAGTTAAGTTTTAATAGACTTAAGTCTTAATAGACTTAAGTTTTAATAGCTTAAGTCACAAAAGTAAGTCAAGACAGGAATACAGAAAGCAGATGAAAATGACAATTAATACTGCAAAAAAAATAACACAATATTCAACAACAAACTAGCAAAAGCAGTGATACTTGAGAATTGAAACATAGAGACACAAATTAAATTAAATGTAGCCCAATTGAAGTTATTCAAAATATTGAACACAAAATTGGCTAACAACAAAATATGTTAATGCTAGTCAAAGTAGTTGAGTGTCTACTTAAGCTAGCAAAATTAAATTAAACATTACCAAAAGACTAAGTCAAAGAAAGTCCACAAAAGTCATGTTATTTAAAAATATAGTGAGAGAAGCTCAATGTCAAAAGGCCAAAAAACAGGGAAACACATTTACCAAGTAAATGTAAAACTATCGGTTGCAAAACTAGCACAAATCGCTAACAAAACTAACAAACTTAAAAGTATTACATTTTAACAATACAAGTAAACAAAACAAATAAAACACAAATTGAATTAAAAATAAATAAATAAATAACCCCAAACCCATTTACCTGGGTTAAAACAGCCTCAGGTAAGATTTTGTGTATGCTGCCCTGGATGTATGGGTTGTTGTCTTTGATTGTTGCTGTGACAGTGAGTCACTCGTACACAGCTTTTTTAATTTGAATGACTAATAACAGTTGTCTCACCAAGGTCTGTGCTACACAAGGCTGACTTCTCTATTGTTTTATTCCCACTGTGTTTCTGCCTGTGTTCCATAGTTATGAAAGTATTTAAGCCTGAACAGAGAACACGTTCCTACATTTCGTATACAATAAATATATGTGTCTGCACAATGGAATAAGTGCAAGTGGTTTTTACAATCTTCGTTTTACAAGTGAGAAACCATGTCTTCACACTGAGAACTCCCAAATAAAGCTGATGCTGCTGATTACCAGCTGCCAGGTGGTGAATGTGGGCAGGGTGGTTTTCACAGTGTTCATGCTGCACTCTAAGCTGTGGCATTCAGAGACAAGAACAGAATAAATATTGAAAACACCCTTAATTTGCCCTTCATGTCAGTGATCAACATTTGTTTCTGTGTTGTTGTTCTAAGACAAAAGATGGAATAATTTTGGTTTTACTTGTTATTTCCATTCATTGTTATAACTGTGACTGTAACGCTGTTAAAGAGGAATGTTGAACACAACAGAACACACAGACTTTCTGGACATTCTAACATTTTAAAAACTTTAAAATCATTTTACTGCACATACTGACAAAATGTATTTTTATAAAATAAAAAAGTATACATATGTATTAAACATATATGTATGTATATATA